CATTTAACTAATGCCTGTTAAGGAGGCTGAAAATGGGAATACATCTAAAAGCTTCTGTGAGGCGTGTTGGTTTTTACTCTGAATTAAATAATCTGAAATGTGTAAGGGTTTTTCTTTTCCCTTGAAATGTTCACGAAGGGCCTTTAACAGTCACAAAGCACGTTAACTCTGCCAGGAGAGACCGCTGAAGCCCATACTGCGACGTTTGTTTTTCCTGTATTTCACTTGCTCCCCGGTGTTCCGTGTTCACCAGAACCACTCCAGGCGAAGCAGGCGGCCGCGGGGCGCAGACGGCTGTGGACCTCTCTGGCCCACGTTGCTGAGAAAGCCGCGTTTGCTGCTGCAGGCAAGGAATGGTTTGAGGGCGATGGCGACCAAGGATCCAGTCCTTCCCCAGCAGAGCAGAAGCTGTCATCCCCACCAGCACGGCAGGAGCAGCGGCCTCCCCGTCTTCCTTTCTCTCCCCTCTGTTAGATACGATCCTGTCCTCCTTCCACATCTCTAGGGCAAAGTTCCGTTTTGCATACACTTTTGAGACACTTTGATCCAGCCTTGTTCTTCATGTAGATTTCTGAATACGGAAAGTATGTAAATTTGACATTGTTTTGATTTCCTTGATCATCTCTGTTTATAGATGCACGTGCTCTCATGCCTTTCTATCTTCAGGGTGGCTGGGATGCCCACTTTGCTGTGTGTTGTTGGCAGCAGATGCTCAGCTAGCCTATGGAGTGTTGCAATTGGCATTCCTTCAGCAGCTGTAACAAAGCACAGATTTTGACTATACTTACATCTTTATCGTGTTTACAGCTGTGTACTGCAACCAGTAGAGGAAACGAAGGAAGATCTGCTCTTAGTGCTCAGAAGACTCAAGAAGTCTACTTGGGATGCAGGAGTGGAAAGTACTATCCCGTGACCCTCCATGTGAAAACCAGCTAGAAAGGGAGATTGTTGCCATCCTTAAAAATGAAAATCTTCCACAGTAGTGGTTGAAAGCACAAAGTATTAAACTGTTCATTTAGTGGTGTTCTAGGTGGCTTTTGTGACATTTATTTGTTTATCAAGAACAGTACACCATCATCTTCTGTTTGAGGCTTATTTTAGAATAAAATACGGCATCTGTCAGACACCATTGTACATGAAAGACTTCATTACATGCCATGGAAGATGAATAATTTACATTCCTTTTTAACCATACCACATGGTTAGAAAGCGACTGGCAGAGTGTGCTGTGACAACAACCATTTACATAATTTTCTACTTGCAGCAAGAGTGACTGTAAAGCACCCAAGTTTAGAAATGCTCTTACAGACTACATAAGATGGCACGATTAAGGCATCCTCTTGCCCCCTCAGAACGTAAAAGGCTGTGGGAAGACAGACCTGTGCCTGGGTGTATTTGAGTGGTAGCTGTATGAGTAGATATACAGAAATGGATCGGGATGGAGTCACCACGGATCACCTCTTATTTCTGATTGGATGTGCGGGGTTTGTAGCATGGACTCGTGTTTGACTGCTGAAGAGAATGCCACTGTCTCCTACTGAGAAAAAAAAAATCCACAAAACAATTAGCATTTAGCTCTTTTGGTCTTCAGAACATCTTATGACCATTAGTTCAATTCCCCATAACATGCGGTGAAGTTGAAAGGTTAGTGTTGCAGCCCGCTGTTTATTTATTTTATTCATCCCCGTTTCTTCCTGATTTAAGGCCAGGAGAGGAGCTACTTTTAGAGCTGCTATTGGAAGTGGTGGCTCCCTGTCTCGCAGCATCCTGTTGATACCGCATCTCGCTTCGAATTTTAAAATATTGAGTGAGAAGAGAATTTGGCCTTAGCAGCCCTGCATAAATCCCACAAATGAAAGACAAAACACTAAAGCTTGGCTGACATTCTGATCCTCCAGCTGATGCGAGTTTGCTGGTGTGCCAGAAGCTGGATGTTGCAATCTGAGTGGCAAGTTAGGTTTTCCTTCTCTTCATCCTGCTGCTGCCAAGACCTTTTTGTGCACTTTGAGCAACAGTCCATTTTTCCCGATTCTAAAGAATAAAAATTATTTGACTGAATAAAAACATGTTGTTCCATGTTTAACATTTTACATCAGGGATTGATGGAAAAGCAATTACTTGTAACTGCTTCAAAATATGTGAGGTCTCTCTGTTTCCCTGGACGGAATGATTATCTCTGAGTGTAACAAAAGGCGTTAATTCTTGTCTGCTGTGTCTGTTGCCGACAGTGGGTAATTCTGCACTGCAGAACCGACAGGCAGCTATGCATTATCACTACAGCTAAAGCGCTGCAGTAGTTACCCTAAAGCTTTCTCTACACACATTTCCAGAAAAACTCCATTACAGATCATCAGAATCCATTTTAATTTTAAATCAGGTGTTTGTAATAACCTTCTTGGGTTAAAGAAGTTCTTGTGCCTAACGTGTAAATATTTTATTGGTTCTGTTCTACTGAAAGCCAGTTCAGGAACACAGGGTAACAGTGCCATTGATTTTATGTCCCCCGACTGCTGAACACTGTTACGACATCTTTGCGCGCAGTGTTACAGAAGTGCCGTTTTGCTCCCGTGCCTGTTGAAAAGAGCAGTCACTCATAAAAACCGTCTCAAAATTGCGTGCACAGATCAAACACTTCCACTTGGCGTGCTGCCGTACTAACCTGGAGCACAGAAGAAAAAAAAAAATAAAAGAAGAGTCGTACAAGTTTTGAAAGCGGAAAGAAAAGCCTAACAAAGGGGAAAATAAGGGAGAAAAACATGCCATGTGCTGAATAGAGAGGAAGAATAGGACGAGACTAAACTATCTTCTCTCCTTTCCTGAAAGCATTATAGAAGCAGTGACAGCAATGTACGTCTGCTGTTCCGTGGTGCAGTAATTTATTTTTAGCAGAAATCAGGAGCATTGCATGGCAAAACTAAATGTGTCAGCAGAGCTCAAAGCAGACGGAGCACCTGCAAACAGCGACGGCCTGCGAGCTCCAGGCTGCTTCAAAGGAAGGTTTTGGTTGTACATTCATGTATTCCACTGCCCTCGCGGGGAGCGTTTGCTGTGGGTTGTGCGTTCGTCCTCCTTTAACACAGCTGGGTTCCTGGCTACGGTGAATGTTTCTGAAGTTTAACAATGAGCCCTGCAAAAGGTGATTTTTTAAAAACATCTTTCCTAAGAGTATCAACCTTAGAGTAAACGAGCAGTGCTGAGCCACACAATGTGTCTCTCCCCTGCCCTTTCTAAAGGGGAATCATAGAGACCTTTGCTTTTCAGTGGGTATTTTGCTGTTGCTGTGGGACCCAGGGTTAGTTTGATTTATTTTGTCCTTCCTGGAGGCCTTTTGTACCTTCACGCTCAGATCCTTTCTGAAATGAAGCACTGGGTCTGGCTTCATTCAGCAGCTGGGATCCAGCTTCCTCGGATCACAGATTAATTGAGGTTGGATGGGGCCTCTGCAGGTCATATAGTCCAATGGCCTGCTCAAAGCAGGACCAGCTTCAAAGCTGGGTCAGGTTGTTTAGTGACTCGGCCAGCCCTGTTATGGACGTCTCTGAGGACTGAGGTGCCCCAGCCTGCCTGGGCCCCAGTTCCAGTGCTTCACCACTTCCATTGTGAAGACTTTTTCCTTGCAGTTAATCAAAATCTTCCTCGCTCAGCTTGTATCTGTTGCCTCTTGCCCCTCAGGACTTCTTTGCATCGTCCAATTATGTTCCTCAAATCTCATTAGCAGAGAACTAAATGCATTTTTTGCATTTGGTAGGAGTTGCGGACTAGCTTGCACCCTTCACCTGGGTTGGTCTCACAGGGTTTGGTATCCAGTTGGAGGAACACAGCATTCTGACACCTCAATGAAGTAAAGGAAATTCTGTAGTAAAATGTTACTGGAAAATACTTTTTTTGGCAAACTTCAAGAACGATACTTATGACATTATCAGTGTCTGTGCTATGGGGAAGCAGGTTCAGGATATCAGGAGGCTGGCTCCAACAATTAACTTGGCTTTGAAGGGCTTGATCCC